ATCCCGGCCCCCCCCCCCCCCCCCAATACCCTCCTCCCCAGCCCCAGCACCCTGCACTCACCTCCCACACATTCTAACCCCCTGCCCTGAGCGCCTCATACACCACTAACCATACACCTCCTCATACACCTGCATGCCCACATCCACAAACTGCACCCCCAGCAACAGCAGAAGTCCCATTAAATTGTCTGTATGTTTCATTTATGATACTATTAATCATCATGTCAATTATCAATAATATTAAATGGTTTATTTTCAGTCATGCAAATGGGCACCCTTATACTGGCTCTGTTAACCACTTGTTCTGAATTTTGACGTAGCATAGCTCTTTGGTTTGAAAAGGTTGCTGACCCCTGGCTTAGGGAAACTTTCCCTAGCACATTTTACTGAACAGATCAGAAAAAACCTAAGTTCAGATAGCAAATCTGGAATGGATTTTATTAAACTAGTCAAAATAATGCACAGTTTTTAACAGCCTAATTTAAATAATTTATCTAAATGCAGTCTGTTACATTCTCTCTTCTATACACTATAGAAACTGGATACCACTTTCCTCTCTTGTGCATTACCCAAGGGAATGGAAACGGGGAGAAGACACATCGAATGAGAAATTATTCTGACCTGTATCTGAACCGTGACCCCAGTCGAATGAAGCTTGATCGGCTTGAGCCTTTTTGGACAGGTCCCCTGAGGCGGAAGAAAGCATGATGTTCCACTGCACACTTCCACAAGTGTTTGCAGGCTTTGGGGTGATCCAGCCTAAACACAAAAGTGTGCTCCTGCTCCTTCCCCTTAAAGCACACAAAACACACTGTGAATGTGAACAGCCTCATACAGGGCAGAGTTCCCCACAATTTAATAAATGCTGAATACAATTTATATTCCTTTGTGCTGAAAAACCCCTCCCCTTTATCTCTACCTGACAATAGATGGATGAAATATTGCAAATACAAGTGCAATAGCTAAAGAGAATATCTGGTATTTTTATCTCCAGGAACAAGATTTGGCCAATTCTTTTCCATGGAATAAATTATTGATTACATATACCTGTTAGTGCCGGGATGGCTCTGTGCTAGGAGCAACACATCAGGGTGTCACTAACATCAAATAAGATTTGATTTTAACAAGTTAGCATATAGCACTGTAACTACACAATGCATTCGCTACATATGCGAGGCATCTTAAAAGGGTCACTGTCCATTCTGGCTTGCCCAAAACATATACACAATAGAGATGTGATTGTGGGGCGGCAGCATTGAAACGGTTTATTAAAATTCACGTTAGCAACTCCACATTCAAGAGACGCTACAATAACAGACTTGTATGTAAGCTGCACGTAAAACGTTACACAGGGATGAAAGTTCCACAGCATGGCTGCATCTAGTCCAGACCGTGGCTCAGTCTTCAGGGCCAAAAGTCATGTAGAGTTTTGGGCTTAGGCTGGAGCCTGAGCTCTGGGTCCCTTTACTTTCAGAGGATCCCAGAACTGAATGTTTACATGCAAAGATTAGCTCTGCAAGCCTGAGTTAGTTGACCAGGCCAGCCATGGGTTTTTATCCATCTGTAGTCATACCTTAGAGGCCAAGCTCAAAACAACTACAGACTGATGAGAAATCTCTTTATGTTGGAATATTCCCCCTGTGGCTGACTGGTGATTGTCTCAAATCAGATTCACCTCCGTCTGTTACCAATACTCGCTTTTTTATAATATGCTCAACTCAGAGCAATTTTTTCTCCTGGGGGGTTCAAACTAGGGATGTTAAATTTAGATTAATGGGCTAATTTAATTGTTGTTGTTGCTACATTTCAAAGATGAAAGCGCTGGCCCCGTGCTCCCTGCGGTGTTTCAAAGCGGTAGCACTGCATGGAGCTCCATGTGGCGCTGCTGCTTTGAACCACCCCCTCTTCTTCCCCTCTGCTTGCTTGCTGCCTCTTTCTTAGAGAGGCAGCAACGGGGGTGGGGAGGGAGGGTGTGTGTGCGCGACTAGTCAACTAGTCGTTCACATCCCTAGTTCAAATTGGATTCTTTCACACCATGCACCAAAGTGCACCTGCTCTTTCCAAACTGTCTGGCCCACACTAGTTAAAGAAAGCATCGCCCTTTTAAAATACAAAGCAAATCAGACACACTGCTAAATTTCTTTGACATAAACACTTTACTGTCCTCAATAAGTCATAATTAAAAACACTCCAATGCTGCCACATTACTCCTGCAAACTTAAGTATGAATGAGACCAGGAGGAACAAACTAGAACACTTAAATCCTAGTTACAAAGCAGCTAAGAGAGCCAATAGCAAAATTTAACTACCTGCTCATCATCTTCAACAACTACTAGTGTTAATTTGTTCTTCTTGAAGTCCAGTCTGGTTATCTTTGGCCTGTCAGATGAACAATAAAAGAAGTGTGTGAACACGTTTTTGTTGGTCAATATATTAAAGTTATATTCAGTGTTCAGCTCTAGGACTCACCCGTTTTAAAAACGGAGATAAACAGAGTGAGCCAAACTGAATTATCCGAGTAAGGTGTGTTTAGCCAGTGTTTTAGGACTTTATTGTTAAGAAGTTATGAGGTGAAGCGATTTCAAAATCTATAGCAACTTTTAAAAAGATGAAGCTTCTGCAGGGAGTCTTAAAATGGACTTTTAGCTGACATCAGTACAGTCTATTGTTTCTTGGCAAGAAGATGGTAGTTAAAACAAACTGTGTTTTGAACAAAGTCTCAGAGGAGTAGCTGTGTTAGTCTATCTTTAAAAACAATGAGTAGTCCTGTGGCACCTTAGGGTATGTCTACACTACAGCACTAATTCGAACTAACGGATCCAGACTAAAAAACTAGCTCGAATTAGAGTTTTGCTAATTCGAACTAGCATGTCCACATTAAGTGGACCCTGAACCGGGATTAAGGATGGCCAGAAGCAGTGCCGGCAAGGCATCAGATGAGGACTTAGAGCGTGGAGCTGCTGCCTCAGGCTAGCCGAGGGCTGTGCTTAAAGGGACCCGACCCCCACCCCGGACGGACAGTTCTCAGGGGTGCCCCGCTTGCAAAGCAGTCCTGGCTTGGATTGCCCGGACTACCCACACTGGGCACATCACAGCACTCGGCCATCAGCCCGGCTGCACTTGCCCCAGGCTGCCATCTGGGGAGAGGGAGCAACTGGGGGGCTGCAGGAGAGCTTCCACCCCCAGAAGCCCGCAGAGCCAGCCCAGTCCTCCCCATCGGGGGCTCGTACCCTATTCCTCCCTCACCTCCTTCCACTTACCCTTCCCTAGCCCCCCTTCCTGATGTACAAAATAAAGGACACGTGTGGTCAAAAATAGAATCTCTCTTTATTGAACAAAACTAGGGGAGACTGGGAAGAGAGAGGGTGGGAGAGGGGAGGGCAACTAAAATGATCAGAGGTTTGGAACAGGTCCCATATGAAGAGAGGCTAAAGAGACTGGGACTTTTCAGTTTAGAAAAGAGGAGACTGAGGGGGGATAGGATAGAGGTCTATAAAAGCATGAGTGGGGTG